AATACGTATTTATGTGATTTTTTGTGAAAGTCGACCACATGCCCTGCGCGTTCGATGGTGGTGTAACTAACAAAAATCAACGATGTCTTTTACCTTACTGGCCAGAAGTAAGGCCTTTCGGCATTTTGCATTTGGAGTGCTGAGCAGGGAATGGTTACTTAGCGCTTTAACGAATAGTTTGAAGTTTTGAAATGGGTTGTTGTCTTTTGTTTCTTTCTACGTACATCGTCACTGCACCAAACAAGTGACAATTTTAAACTGAAAAGTGGACGTCCACTTTTCAGTTTGAAATTTGTGATTGTTTGTCTCACCTCGACACGTTGACAAGACGTTTAGTGCTTTGAGTTTCCCTCTGTTACGACGACACTCTGTTCTGAAGCGCGGTCTTTGTTAAATGTTAAGATGGTTGTTTCTTGAACTGAGTTGGAGAGAGACTGATGGATACGTTGCAGGAGTTATTCGTATGATGTTGACAGATCACAAGGAAGAGCCTATCTCATTGACGGCGATCTGTTTTATTCGCCAAATAGTCGAAGAGCTATAGACGTCCCCCCTCAGGTCACGAAGCAGGGTGGCGTCGTTAACCCTTTTCTTCAATTTCGACGATATCCTCGATTATCTGCCCTTCAATTGCCTCGATGGTGGACCCCACATTTCGGTTGGATGGCTTTCATACCTCTGAAATTCAGTTTTAGCTGCGTGCCGTTTGATAGGCTACGCTTCATACCGACCCAAGTCACAGATACGAAAGATCTGTTTGCGCTTGATGCTGTCACTGCACAATCTTGGTACCATCTTCAGTACTTTCTGCACGATGTCGCGGTGTTACTGAATCTGTGCTACAAAGTCGCTCTCATTACGCCACATTTACCTTCTGCCTATGATTTCACGAAACCCTTTCGATCGAACTCAGCTGGTCGTCGAAGATTGGCTGAAGCTTGAGAGGGTGGTCACATGACCAATTACCAAAAATAGTCAAAAAGCGAAAGTTGTACCCCTGCACTGTAGCTTCCCAAATCTGGTTGAATTATGTTCTGAAGTGCTCCTGTTGTGGAGATATGAGGTAAAGGAATTCCAAAAGCGTCGTGTTTTTTTTGGTTTTTTGCATTTTTCTTCATGAAAACAAAACCAAATAACATGATTCCAACACATTTAGAAAGCTAGATGAAAGGGCAACAAATATCATATCATGGGAAAATTGACCAAAAAAGGAAGGTGCATTCCCTAAAAGAGCAATCAACACTGACAGACTACAAGAGTCAGATATAGACTACCAAGTTTACTGATAGACTACAAAAAAGTTGGACATAGGCTACAAAGTTTACTGATAGACTACAAAAGACTACAAAAGTCAGACTTAGACTACAAAAGCTTGGACTTAGACTACAAAATTAGGGTTACATTAAAAGGTTTTGTAGTGTCCGCTTTTTCATTAGAAAAGTTTATAGTGTCCGCTTTTTTAGACTACAAAAGTTTGTAGTGTGTGCCTTTTCATTAGAAAAGTTTGTAGTGTCCGCTTTTTCATAGAAAAGTTG